ACACACTCACACACTCACACACTCACACACTCACACACTCACACACACACACACACACACTCTCTCTCTCTCTCTCTCTCGGCTCACACACTCACACACTCACACACTCACACACTCACACACTCTCACTCTCACTCACACACATTCACTCACACACACACTCACACTCTCACACTCTCACTCACACACACACACACACACAAAACCAAACGACACAGACGACGCGACGCAGCAGACCAAGCGAATCATCCTGGAAGACAACCGCGCAGAGGACAACTGATTGTTGTGACATGACTGTGACACGTGCTTCGTGCTTTGTGATGTGATGTCTCTTCCTTTGTGTGTTTGTCACATCATGTGCGTATCTCATGTGCGTGGAGTTCACGATGAATAGAGAGCGAAACAAGACAACCAAGCCCAAACGCAACCAACAAACACACGCACGCACTCGCTTCACGTTGCCTTACACAACAGCAGTTGTCTTACAGCAATGTTTTACTTTTTGTTTTTTCCATCTGTGGTGTACAAACGCGCATTGGAGCGCCGCATTCATCATGAAAGAGGAAGACACACAGTTGCAGCTTTAACCTGGTGAGGTAGGCAGGGGGAAGGACAGGAGAAAGATGAGGAGGGAGAGGAGGAAAGGAGGAGAGGAGTGCACGAAAACAAAACAGCAAGGTAAGCAGGAATATGTTGTGTGTGGTGTGTGTGGTGCGTTTTCGGTTCGTGGTGTGGGTGGGTTCGTTTAGAGCTCGTCGTGCTCCTCGCCCTCGTCCTCTGCAGCGCCCTCGGCGCCCTGGTACAGCTGGGAGATGATTGGGGTGGCAATGTCCTCCACCTCCTTCTTCGCGGCCTTGAAGTCGTCCACGTCGGCGTCCTCGTTCTCCGAGAGCCACGAGATCTTCTCGTCAATGGCCTCCTCAATCGTCTCCTTGTCCTCCTCGCTGAGCTTGCCGCCGAGCTTGTCGTCGTCGCCCAGCTGGTTCTTCAGGCCGTACAGGTAGCTCTCCAGCTCGTTGCGCGCCTCCACGCGCTCCTTCACCAGCTTGTCCTCCTCCGCGTACTTCTCGGCCTCCTTGATCATGCGGTCAATGTCCTCCGGGGTGAGGCGGTTCTTGTCGTTGGTGATGGTAATCGACTCCTTGGAGCCCGTGCCCTTGTCCTCCGCAGACACGCGCAGGATACCGTTGACGTCAATCTCAAACGTCACCTCAATCTGGGGCACGCCGCGCGGCGCGGGCGGGATGTTGTTCAGGTCAAACTTGCCCAGCAGGTGGTTGTCCTTGGTCATGGGGCGCTCGCCCTCAAACACCTGGATGGTCACCGTGGGCTGGTTGTCCGCGGCGGTGGAGAAGATCTGCGACTTCTTGGTGGGCACGACAGAGTTGCGCTCAATGAGCTTGGTCATGACGCCGCCAACTGTCTCAATGCCGAGGGTGAGCGGGTTGACGTCGAGGAGCACGAGGTCGCCCGTCTCCTCCTCGCCGCTGAGCACGCCGCCCTGCACGGCTGCACCGTAGGCCACAGCCTCATCGGGGTTGATGCCGCGGCTGGGCTCCTTGCCGTTGAAGTAGTCCTTGACCAGCTGCTGGATCTTGGGGATGCGGGTGGAGCCACCGACGAGCACAATCTCGTCCACCTCGTCCTTGCTCAGGTCGGCGTCCTCCATGACCTTCTTCACGGGCTTGAGCGTGGAGCGGAAGAGGTCCATGTTGAGCTCCTCAAAGCGGGCGCGGGTGAGCGTCTCGGAGAAGTCCTCGCCCTCAAAGAACGACTCAATCTCAATGCGCGTCTGGTGCTGGGAGCTGAGGGCGCGCTTGGCCTTCTCAACCTCGCGGCGCAGCTTCTGCATGGTGCGGTGGTCCTTGCGGATGTCCTTGCCGTGCTTCTTCTTGTACAGCTTGACAAAGTAGTCCATGACGCGCTGGTCAAAGTCCTCGCCACCGAGGTGGGTGTCACCGTTGGTGGCAAGCACCTCAAAGACGCCGTTGTCGATGGTGAGCAGGGTCACGTCGAAGGTGCCGCCACCGAGATCGAAGACGAGCACGTTCTTCTCGCCCTCCTTCTTGTCCAGGCCGTAGGCGATGGCGGCAGCCGTGGGCTCGTTGATGATGCGCATGACGTTGAGGCCGGCAATGGTGCCTGCGTCCTTGGTGGCCTGGCGCTGGGCGTCGTTGAAGTAGGCGGGGACGGTGACGACGGCGTGGGTGACCTTCTTGCCCAGGTAGGCCTCGGCAATCTCCCTCATCTTGGAGAGGACCATGGCGGAAATCTCCTCGGGCTGGAACTCCTTCTTGCCGTCCTTGGTCGTCACCTGGATGGAGGGCTTGTCGTTGCGGTTGACCATGGTGAAGGGGAAGAACTTCTTGTCGCGCTGCACTGTCTGGTCGCCCCAGTTGCGGCCGATGAGGCGCTTGGCGTCGAAAACGGTGTTTTCCGGGTTGGACGTGAGCTGGTTCTTGGCGGCGTCGCCAATCAGGCGCTCGCCATCCTCCGTAAACGCCACATACGACGGCGTGATGCGGTTACCCTGGTCGTTGGGGATAATCTCCACGCGGCCGTTCTTGAACACGCCAACGCTGCACAAGACGGGGGGGGGAAGGGGTGGTGGTGTGCGGGTGGTATGCGTGCGTGAGGGTGTGCGTGGGGTGTGCGTGGGATGGAAATAAAGACGTTGTGTGTGTGTGTGTGTGTGTGTGTGTGTGTGTGTGTGTGTGTGTGTGTGTGTGTGTGTGTGTGTGTGTGTGTGTGTGTGTGTGTGTGGAGCGACGTTGTGGTTGGTGCACGCATGCATGTCTGTGTGCACGTTTACACTGGCGGGTGCGAGTTTCCCACCACCACCACCAACGACAACAACGCAGTTACACGCACGCACTCACACCGCACGCAGCACACACACACACATACGCACGCACATACACTCATTCACTCACACAGCACACTCAGACAAACACTCACCAGGAGTAGGTGGTGCCGAGGTCAATGCCAATCACTGTGCCAACGTCGTCGCTGTCATCAGCAGCCGCTGCAACAGCAAGCAGGGCCAGCAGCGCAATGGCCGTGGCCTTGTACGAGAACTTCATCGTCTGTCTGTGTGTCTGGATGGAAGCACGCGTGCGTCTTCTCAGCGCGTTGTGATCTGCCTTGGCCCTGTTCGTTCGGTCTTCCAACAGCAACAGCAGCAGCAACCGACCAACGTTGATGGGGTGGAAAATGAAGAGAAGCGGCTTGCTTTGCGCGTCAGCTTCTGGCGCTGCTTCCTTGCTTCCTTGCTTTGCTTGCTTTTGCACTGGCTTTGTTGTGCTTTGTGTGAGTTTGCTTGCTGCTTCTGGTTCCGTCTTACGTGGCAGAGAACGGCGGTTGTTGATGTTTTCCACCACATTTCGTGCTTTTGTCTGACACGTGTCATCGTTTTCGCTCGACCACGCCATTCTTGCTGATGTCAGCACTTTGCCAGAAGCAGCCAGAAGTGCGTTGTGTTGGTTGTTGTGGTGGTGTGGTCGACTGACGTGTTGACGTTGTTGTTGTGGTGGGAATGCATGAGTGACATGATGACATGACAACATAACATGACCGCGCGTCCTCCTCCTTGCTCCTCCTCCTTGACTGCCCTCTCTCTGTATCGCATCAGCGGGTGTTGGCGGTGGGTTTTTTATCCTACGACACAACGAGACCAAGCGCCATGCGCTGTGCTGTGCTGTGCTGTGCTGTGCTGTGCTGTGGCTGTGCTGTGCTGTGCTGTGCTGTGCTGTGCTGTGACTTTGACTGTGACTGATCGACAGCCGTAGTAGCAGCAGCACGAAAACAGCAGCTGAAGTAGCACAGACAGGAGCTGAAGCAGCAGAGCCAGCAGAAACAACAGCACGAGCAGCGAGGCAGAATCATAAGCCCTTCTCCTCGCTGCTACGTCTTGTCACGCTTGTCAAAGCGGCCGCCCAGCTTGCCGTTCTTGCGGTACGTGTACGCATACTTGTTCGGGATGCCTTCAAAGAACAGCACGCCTGTGGGCAAGGGGGGAGGTGGAGCGGGTGAAGAGTGAGAAATCAAAACAGAGTGAGCGGGACGGGAGGGGAAAAGGAGGGGTGGCCTGAGGTGAACAACATGCCACGTTGTTGTGCGAAGATCAAACAGTATGCAACGGTGTGCATTCGCAGAAAGGGGCACGCGTGCCTGTGCACCAACCTACACAGCAAACACACACACGCACATCCTCACAGCGCACAAGCGCACACAAAACACACAAATCCTACGCACACAAAACATACCCACACAACGCACACGCACGCAACGCATTCACACCTGCTGCGCGCTCGACGTCTTCGAGCGGGACGAGGAAGTTGATGAGGGGCTGACCAGCAGCGATGGGCTTGTTGGGCATGATGAAGCTTTGAATCTCAAGCTGGCCTTTGGGCGTCTTGCCAACCACCACCTTGAAGAAATGCGTCGGCACAGCCACGCGGTTCTTCCCAATCACCTGTGTGTGCGAGTGTGTGCGCGAGTGTGTGCGTGTGCGTGGGAGTGTATGTATGTGTGTGGGTGTGAGTGTGTGTGTATGTATGTGTGCGTTGTGATTGAAGCACGTGGCGCATGTGGACATGTAGAAGCAAAGGCGGAAACACGCACCTCATACGAAACCATCATGCGGCCATCCGGTGTTCGCGTTGGAAGGAACAGTGGGCCTGAACATTCATTTGAGGAGGACAAAGAAGGAAGTGGGGGAGCAGGTGAGTGGTGGGTAAGCGAAGCGCCCGCCCAGATAGTGCACACACACACACGCACACACACACACACACACACACACACACACACACACACACACACACACACACAACCTGACCTGAGCAGACATGGACGTGTGTGTATGCCTTTGTGAGGCGGCGAACGTATCCTTCGAGCTGGTTCCACGCATCCCGGTTAAAGCCCTGCCCAACCTGCGGTGCAATGTTGCTGAAGAAGAACGTCGACTGCATGTGCTCTTGGCTCCTGGTGAGATGCCACAAGCACAGTCAACAAGGAATGAGCTCTTGGGGAAGGCGTGGCTGTCTTGCCGTTATCTTCCTGTCTAACTCTCTGCTGCTGGCCTCTATCTCTCTTCCTGCCTGCCCCTTCTTGTCTCTGTCTCTGTCTTTCCGCTGCTTCTCTCTGTCTCACTGCCTTTCTGTCTCTGTCGCACTCTGCGGCTTCACGTACGTGCGGTGGTTTGCGGCTGCGGCCAGGTGACCTCGATCATACCCGCTTCCCCTGATCATCGAGGAGTCACGTGAGCACGGTTGGGCAGACAGGGGGTGAACGGCGTCGTTGGGAGGAACAGGCAGGCAGGCGGTCTGTTTGACACTCACAGCACACTCACAACACACTCACAGCACATTCACAGAACACAAAAAACAGCACACAACACACAGCACACAACAAACAACACACAGCACACAAGATGCACACATGCACACAGGTAGCGCACAACACAGCGCGTGCACCTGTAGTCACTGTCGACGGATTGAAAGTACGGGTGGATGGAGTTGTCTGTCTTAAATGGGCAGTGTTTCCGGTCTGTTGTTCTGAGGCACACATACATGCACAAGACAGCAACCACCAAAGAAGGCAAAGGGTGAGCTGGAAGTACACGTCGAATGCAAAAGCGCGCAACATGCACAGCAGCACGGTGCTGCCATCAGTCGTGCACGCACACGCACACGCACGCACACACGCACACACGCACACACGCACACACGCACACACGCACACACGCACACACGCACACACGCACACACGCACACACACACACACACGCACACACGCACACACACACACGCACACACGCACACACACACACGCACACACGCACACACGCACACACGCACACACGCACACACGCACACACGCACACGCACGCACACACGCACACAAACGCACACACGCGTATACACACACATGCACACATGTCAGGAAACGCACCCAGCTTTGACTGTTTCTTCGTCAAAGGTCTGCAAGCCATGGAGCGCAGCACGCAGGGCGTGTGTCGGAAGGAAGAGAAAGCATCAGAGGCACGTATTACACGCGACACAGACGAGCAGCGTTCGTGGGCAATGGTTGAGAGGACATTGTCAGCGTGCGTGAATGTGCGTGCAAGGGCAGGCCAACGCAGGCAGCTGCGAGAGCAAGGGCACGACCGAGAGCAAGGCACGACCGAGCGCAAGCTCACTTCACTCACGCACCTCGCACACCCAGTTGGGGATACGAAGCGCCTGGTTGTATGAGATGACATGATAGGGGCGATGCTTCAACTGGCCCATGTCTGTGGAACCAACCAACGCCAATACATGACTCCATGTGACACACCGCGCGCGAAGCAACCTCATGCACACAGGTGCACTGCTGGGATTGTACACAGAGAAAACGAGACAGACAGAGAGAGAGAGAGAGGGAGAGAGATACACACAGAGCACACACACACACACACATTCACAGAGCACACACACACACACAGAGCATACACACGCACACACACACACACACACACACACAGAGAGCACACACAGAGCACACACACACACACACACACACACACACACACACACACACACACACACACACACACACACACACACAGCTGACCTGGGAAGCCATAAGGCAGTGTTGGAAGCCGGGCTGGCGGCGTCGTGGTGGTGGACTGGGCGTGGGCCACAGGCATGCCCACCGAAGAAGCCACGGACACGGCATCGTCATCGGCATGGAGACCGCTCTTCACCAGCGCGGTGCCCACAACAACCCCAACACCGGCCGTGCCAACTCTCCACACCCATCGCCCAAGAAGCGTCATCCCGTTCCACTGAACAACAAGACGATGACGGGAAAAAATAAAACGGATTTGAACTCGTGACCTCTGGTTTATTGTGCTGCCCACTGCAACGTTGTAACACCTCAACGTACAAGCCCTACTCGCGTCACACACACACACGCACACACACACACTCACACACTTCACACACACACACACACTCACACACTCACTCACTCACTCACTCACTCACTCACTCACTCACTCACTCACTCACTCACTCACTCACTCACTCACTCACTCACTCACTCACTCACTCACTCACTCACTCACTTCACGCACACACACTTCAAGTACACTGGACACCAGGATACCGCCACCGCCTGCATGGTCTCAACGCTTACACACCGTCTCCCAAGAGCTCCTTCTTTCTGTAGTCACTGCAGAATCCCGTTGTCTGGCCCTCCTTGCTTTCCAACACCTCCTCAATCTCCCTCGCCTTTCCCGCCATCATGGCCGCGTACCATTGCCGTACCTCCCGCTGCCGCCTGTCCACCTCCTCCCTGCGCCCTGCCAGCGCAGCCATCGCGGTAACGGCGTCGCCCCAGTCGTCCAGGATGAGCATTGGCGACGAGAGGTACTCTGCCGGCATGTGCGTGTCCAGATATCCGTTGTCGCGCGCAAGTACGGGGATGGCGCCCGCCTCCAGCGCTTCGTAGATGCGGAACTGCTCAACGTGATGGCCCTGCGTTGTCAACAGGGCGAATGAGGTGATGGCGAGTGAGGTGACATGGGATGAGGGAAGTGGGGATGGAAGTGGGGATGGAAGTGGGGATACGTGTGTTGCGGCACACTTCAGTGACATGGCTACAGGCAGCGACAAACAGGAAGCTCGCATCAATCGCACAACACACACACACACATGTGCACACACACACACACACACACACACAAAACACACACACACACAAACACATTTGACACCGCAGGCACTGACCTTTGGGCAGAGGATGAAGATGGAATCCTGCATGAGTTCCCCATAACGGGCCGGGCTCACATACTCCTCGTTGTTCGCAGAGCCGTGCCAATGTTGTGCAACGTGGATGAACCGCTTGATGGTGTCGTGATGTAACACCACAGCGTGCAAGGCGTGTGAAGAGTGTGAGGCGGTGTCACAGGACCCAAACCTCGTCAAAGCACAGCCAACACAACTAACCCCACAACACAGCACGACACGACACAACACAACACAGCACAACACAGCACGACACAACACAATCAGCGCCACAACAAGAACCTTGTCCTGTGGGATGGTGGTGTCGTTCTTGAGGATGGTGTGGACGCGCTGTCGCGTGGCATCTGTCAATGCCACCATGTACGCATACACGAAGGTGCGCTCTGACGCTGGTTTTGTTGCAAACGGGTCGATGTCGGGGAACTCATTCCTGGACCCCAGCGGCATGAAGCGCACGTTGCCATCGCCCCACGCCGCCCACTGCCGCGGGTCGTAGTACTGCCGGAAGAACGGGAACACGTGCGCAGGGATGTCTGCGTGCCCGTCGACCGTCTCCAGCGGGCTGCCATCGCCATGCGGGCCAATGGCACGGCCGTTGTGCACCAGCCCCCAGCTGCCCACCTCGTCAGCGGTCAGCACGAGCACAGACTCCTCCGGGAAGTGCGTGAGCACAAAGTCGACCGCGCCCGCAATCTGCACAAACACCTTCTTCCCCGGCTGTCGCACGCACACCTCCTCGTAGAAGTCGGCCAAGGTCCGCGTGACCTGGTGATTCAGCGCCTTGTTCACGTACACATACTTGTCGCCGTAGTAGCGCTCGAAGCGGCCCGTGAAGTACAGGCTTGATGTGCGCTTGGCCGGCGCAATGTACACGGTGATGGCCTCCTTGAGCGGCGTCGACGTTGTGTAGATGTCGCACCACCACGCGCGCCCACCACACGTTGGCTTGCTGGCGCCCTTCAGCCCGGCGCAGGGAAGCGGGCACTTGTCCGCGTCCTGCTCCAGGTCACGTGGCAGCTCCCGCATGCACCCGCACTGGATCTCGCCCGTCAGCACCGACACACCGAGCCCTTGGCTGTAGCAGTGCTCTGCGCACCGGTCGGGCGTTAGGTCGAGCATTTTCGTTGTCGATGCCATGAGCTGGTTTGGTGAAATGTGCAAGCACCCGTTGTGTTGGATCTCAAGTCCGCTGTCGCCGATCTGCGTTTGATCTTGGTGTTGCTGCTGCTGTTGCTGTTGCTGTTGCTGTTGCTGTTGCTGTTGCTGTTGCTGTTGCTGTTGCTGTTGCTGTTGTTGCTGTTGTTGTTGCTGTTGCTGTTGTTGGTGCTGTTGTTGTTGCGGTTGTTGGTGCTGGTGCTGTTGCTGCTGTTGTTGCTGCCCATGGCTGGCGTGTGAAACTGTGGCTGCTTGAGCCTCTGGAGAAGGCTCATCAGCTCTGGCTGCGTGTGTTGGCGACGTGGCGCGCGCATCGAGTCGTTGATGCTGCTGCGACGACGCCGGTGCAGAGGCGAGCTGGAAGTTGGAATTCTCCAAGAGACGCAGGGCGTCGCGCTGTGCATTGCCGCTATCGGGAGTCACTGAGCTGGGGTCGTTGCAGGTGCACGACAGCTTGTTCCATGCCGCCACGTAGATGAGCAGCAGCAGTGCCGCTAGCACCACCTGCGCATACGTCGTGTTGGAAAGGGAGATGGAGGTGATTGCCATCACTTGTTGGCGTGTGTGCGTTCTTGTGTTTGTTCGTGTGTGTGTTCGGAGGTGGGCAGTTCAGGAGCAAAGGGCCACTAGCAGGCCCACTCGGCGCCAAGAGACTTGCTTGTCTGTTTGCTTGCTTGTGCGTCTGTGTGCACGAGTGTATTGGCGAGGGTTGCAGATTGAGGGAATTGTCAACGTGTGTGTGAGAGAAAATCGCACACATCAAACACACTCCTCCAGCTTGACACACGTGAGACCACTGTGCGTAACACATACACCACCCACACCGACACCACCACACCGCCTCAAACACGAGATGTCGTCGACGTTTGCGTGGAGCCGCTTCGGGCAGCCCGTGTCGGAGCTGCCGACGGAGCCCGTGAAGACGAGCAACGAGCCCACCACCCCCGAGGAGCGCTTCAACCTCATCACACGTGGCCTGCAGGAGACCACCAAGCCCGAAGTCCTCATGGAGGTGCGCATGTGTGTGTGTGTGTGTGTGTGTGTGTGTGTCTGTA